GAACTGTGCTAGGAAGCACTGTGGATTCAGAATGGAGAGTAAGACATGTTCTTTTTATGAAGAACACAATAGGTGGGGAAAGTCATGTTGATAAATGTGTACAAAGGGGTTATGGGCATGTGGGCAGTGGGAGGCAATGCACTCAACCAATGGCAGGCAGTCAGGAAGGCTTCACAGAGGAGGTGACATTTGAGTTGCATCTGAAATACATACTAAGAAAAGGCGTATTCCAGGAGGGGCAAAAGCATCTGCAGAAGACACATTATTCCTCATATTAAATTTTCAAAGTGATTTTTACTCTTTTCTTTTTTTGCTGCTATATTCCCATTTCTTCTTCACACTCTAATCAGGGTTTACAAATCCGTGGCACCTGCACTGCCCTCTCCCCCTTCTCCTGCCATTGTGAGCATCTATAACTGAAGATAGAATTCTTTTTCCTAAAGAGTCTACTTGGCCGGGCGCGGTGGCTCCGTCTGTAATCCCAGCACTTTGGGTGGCGGGGACGGATCACGAGTTAGGGAGATGAGACCATTCCTGGCTAACACGGTGAAACCCCGTCTCTACTAAAAAAATACAAAAAATTGGCAGGGCGTGGTGGTGGGCGCCTGTAGTCCCAGCTACTCGGGAGGCTGAGGCAGGAGAATTGCAGTGAGCCGAGATTGCACCACTGCACTCCAGCTTGGGCGACAGAGCAAGACTCCGACTCAAAAAAAAAAAAAAAAGAAAAAGAAAAAGAGTCAACACTAGGTGCCATTAGAAATAATGTAAAGAAATTAACTCATGGTCTCAAGTATACACAACAGACACTTGCTTACCATTCCCTACTTTGACTGAGTGGGAATGTAGAGCCTTGTTCGGAGGTGAGTAGGGAGACAGAGTTCCTAAGCGTTAGCCCTAGGGCACTAGAATCTGGGGTTAAACAAATTCAAATCTGATACACATCTCTAGGGGTGGAAAAACTTCAGAGTTTTTGGGCTCACAAGTGATTCCAATGTGCAGAGAAGTTTGAGAATTACTGCCATAGAAGTCTTTGTTCAAAAGTCAAATTCGTTGCCCATGTAAAAAGGGTTCAGAGGATTACCAAATTGTACTCTTCACAAGGGAAGAAAATTTTTCCAGAGCAAGAGGGAGTCCTCTGAATCTGAAGTCTGGTCACTAAGCAGATACCAGAGTAAAGACCTGAGGAGCTTGGCTAAAGAGCAGGATATCAGCAGCAGGGGGCAGGCAGAGGTGGCCTGCAGGCATTTTTCTGTCCCAGTTTTCATGACAGGATGCCAAATCTACTTAGCAATGGTCATTTCTTATTTTCATTCCTTTTTCCGAAGTACTAAGGACTAAAAGGAATTATTAGTGTAATCAGCATAACAACCACACAGGCTGAAGTTTGCTAAGTCAGCTCCCCTGCCAAAATACTAGAATTGCCTACAGAAAAAAGCCCACTAGGTACTTAAAAAATCAATGAAATGATATTATGCTGCATTAAAAAGAACATGCCTACGAAACACAATACCATGTAGTGCTACCATTTATTTGAAAGTCATTTTGATGACACTGTGCATACTTTAGAGTTTTGGGTTAAAGATAATTGAGTATGAAACTATAGAAAACCTTGCTTTGAAAGTGGAGCCAGTATCAATGTTATCCTAATCTCTTTGCAAAAAAAAAAAAAAAAAAAAAAAAAAAAACTGTCTCTTAATTACACTACAATCGAATCGAGTCTTCAACTCTTATATATTCATTCAGAATTGTATAATCTCTCTCATGGGAGGAAATGTAAAAGGGAAGTTTTCAAGACCTTTTTGTACCTTAATATCCTTTTCAACTTCTAATGTAAAAATGTATTCATTCCTGATACAATGCTGTAGAAATAAAGACCAATTCAGAATGTAATGAGAGTTTACAAAGTAGCTCCTCTTTTTCTGCATTGAGGACAATTTTATTGATTCGAATTAGAAACTTCTAGTTGGGAGCAGGAGAAAAAGGAGGAAGAGAAGCAAGCGATCTGTGACCTAGCGCTGATTATTGGCTGACCTCTAATAAAGGAAGAAGATTCGGATTTCTGGTGCCAAAACAAAAGTAATAGAACGGAAAATGAATTTTTGCAATCCCCACACATCACTGAATTTATCAACCTCTTCTAGACAAAGTAATCCTACAAAGCAGTTCTATTTCCAAGGATTTTTATCCTTTTCCATCTGAGCTAAGCAAGGTGCAGTTTGCAGCTTCAAAATATGTAAATAATCTATAACTCATATCAGTGTTCCGATTAAAAAAATTACCTAATCTGTTCTTTGCTCCTTTGCAAGTTTCATTGAAGCAGCGCCCCCTAAGGCAAAGAAGACGGTACGTGGTAAAATTCGGCTTGTGGTAGATTGTCCATCAACCAGCTCTCAGGAATGGAGCGCCCCCTGGAGGCCAGTCATCCAGCCAGTCTGTTCCCATCCATTAGAGCAGAGGCTCTCAAGTATGGTCCCTGGACTAACAGCATTGACACCACCTGAGAACCGTTAAGAAATCCAAGTTCTGGGGCCCCACCATAGGCCAACTGAATCAGAAACTCCTGTGATGGGGCCCAGCAATCTACAGGCCTTCCAGGTGCTGCTGAAGCCTGCTAATTTTGAGAACCACTGTATTAGAACACCTCATTCCCCAAATATGTCAGAATCAAGGTGTCATTGTGTTAAGAAATTAATTATACAGGAATGAACAGAGCTGAAATGTAACACCATAGAGAATGAACCAAGGATTTGATATTTGTATTAAGTAAAAACATTGAACTACAATTTAGAAAATGTTGATACCAATGTATTTACCGTACATTAAAAGCAACTTTTAGCAACTCTTTAATTATTCCCAATATATAGTTTGAATTACTGTGTTCCTTGATGAAAAGGATAAAGGAATGTAAGTGACTCTACCATAAACACAGGAAAGTTTGGATAATCTCAGTACCTACTACTACCACACAACAAGACCAATGATCCCTCCCCCTCTCTTCTCAGGACTGCCATCAGCTCAAACCAGTTCACATGGCTATCTGACTACAAAATGAGGCCGAACTTTATCACAATCAAGGTGGAAATGAAAATAACAATCCAAGAAAAACACTTCCCTCATTTTAAATTTTTTTTATTTAACATATATATAGTACATGTAAACAACTGGCATAAAATTCTTAAAAATAATGCTCTATGCAATACTTTATTCCTGATACATACTTTCATTTTCTCATTAATATCACTGCCTATTTTAACACTGTACTTTTCAGCCAAGCATTTTTTAGAGGCTTATCTTTTAAGAAATACGGCCCGACTTTGTTTTCTAAAATGTCATAGCTAGCTATTTTGATCGCCTCTTTGCCATCCTTACTTTCCTCACACTAAAAGCAAAATATTTTAAATGCTAAAAGTATGAAAAACACTGAACTTTAGCTGTTTCATCACGCCTATGGAGCCTGCTACCACTCTGCATTGCCATCAAAGGTGTGGGTGCTCCACAGCGCTGGTGCGGTGAGCTGTAGCCCACGGCTGCATAGAGCCTTCAGGCCTCTGCTCCAGACTGGCTTCCCTAATATATAGCCACATTTGCTGGGAGTTACATTCATGAACACTGCTACAAGAGATCCTTCTGGAAAAAGGTAATTTACACTACTTTTAATGGTTCTCAGCAAATGAAGCAGTTATAATAGTATTTTAATGCTTTTTCCTACACAGTATTTCTACTTATTACATGTGAACTTATTTGGAAGGAAATTACTGGGGGTGAGAAAAATACAGAATAACTGTAAAATTTTTAAAAATTGTAACTGCTGGATGTACACAATCCAGCTGCCTCAGGTGAAACAACAGTCACAGATAAGCAGAGCGCACCTCCCTCTCCCTGCCCATATCGACTCCATCCTCAGCCTCAAGTGTCCACTGCCCCTTTTCCTGGACTGTTGTGCATCATCGCTCAAATGTTGCTTTTGATCCATAAATCATGGGCTGCTTCCCTATTTTCTAAAACTAGCAAAAGCCTAAGAAATAAAAACAGTCAACCAGCAAATGAAAACAGGTAGCCACAAATCTGAAGAACACTGCCAGAGTCCCTCTCCTGGGCCACTCCCCACGGAAGGAGCATCCCTGAGGCTGCGACTCTGGGCTCTGGGGCAGGAGTTGGGGGCGGGGTTCCTGGGCACACCCCTCTCAGGCTTGCAGCTGACCCAGGTGAGAACAGGCCTGCCCGCAGGCTCTGGTAAGAGGAGTAGAAAGGAACAGCGGCTTCCAGGAGTGGGCACCAGAAACCATCCCTGAGGACTAAGGTCTCAAGGACAATCCACAATGAGGTTAATCTGCCTGTGGTTAAGAAAGAGAAGCTGGATAATTAAATGTGTAGTCAGTCAGTCACAGTCACGGTTTGCTTAGAATTTAAAAGCCTAAAACCTTTTCTCAGAGCCATGAGGTTTCATTGTTTTGAAAGATCTCATTTCACACAAATTAACTTCACCAAAAACAAAAATTCTTACAAGGAATTCAAGAGGTGTAGAAATTTTTTCAAAATAAAAATAAATAGGAAGAAAAAAACTAAAGAGGAGGGAGCGAAATATACTCATTCTGCATACTGAAATAATGGTTTAGAACCAAAGGTATAACATAATGTAGTTTGTCTTATTAAAGACAGGCAATCTTAAAAGTAAAATATAAAAACTCCATTTATCATTATTCTTTACGTTTGTGTGTAAAATTAGTCATGTTTATGGTATCTTAGTAAAGAAGAGGAATTACCGTGTACTACAGTCTACTGTTCCACTATAAATGATGTCTTCTCAAATATACATTAGTTTCTAGATGCACTATATTTGGGGGTTGTTCAAAATAGTTTTCTTAAAACTATAATTAAACATAAGAAAAAAATTTTAAAAAAAAAAAAAAGAGTGGTTTAAAGGTATTAAAATATAAACACCCATTTGAATAATGTAAAAATGAGGGAAAAATACAGTTACCATTAATTTTTAAGAGCAGAATAAGTACTTGATAAGCAACTAAATGAGTAAACAGTACTTATTTGACAGAAAATGTGAGGAGGAGGAGAAGAGAGCGAGAGAGACATGGTAACGCCACAGGGCTGGCAGTTAAGGGAATTTCCTAACCACAAGGTCCGAGAGTTTGGATTAATAATGGGCAGGAAAAGCTTCATTAACAAGAGAACAGAGAACAAAAAGAGCACAAGGAACTAAAAGAGACAGACAGTTCTACACAGCAAACGTTCCATGTCTGCTGCATCTACTGTAACTCAAGCTGATGACAGGGGCTGACACGACCAGAAGAACTTACAAAATCACTGAAATGTCCAAAGACAAGAGCGAGGCAGAAAAGGAAGCATTAAAAGTTCTTACACTATAAAATCAGCCCCTACATAGTCAGAATTGTCCTGTATTTTCATGTCACCCTTGTCACAACCCATTGTGTTTTCTTTCTACAGGTAGCTTTGCTTACCTTAGCACAAATATCAAAGTCAAGTACAAGCATACACTCATTTGCATAGCAAATTTTAAAGATACACATTGAAACAGTAACCAATTGATGAATTAAAAGTCATTTTATAATTAGAATGACATTCAAATTGACCAAATAAAATGTTTTTCTATTTTGAAAACAGTTACCACCTAAAGTTTTTGGGATATAGACAACACATGACTTAGCAAAACATTAAAACCCGTTACTGATGCCGTTCTCCATGACGGCAGTTCATGTAGAAGTCATTCTTTTACAACTTCTAGGACTTTGTAAACACTGTTCTGGAATACAGTGGTGAAGTGAGGTTTGGAATCCTTCACCAAGAGGTTACATAAGGGAGTTTTCCCAGCATTGGCAGGATCTTCATCCCAAATTTCAGGCATACCACCAGCCAGGCCTAGAAAAATGAATGTACATATTAAAAATCAATGTGCATTATATAACACTTGAATAAAGCAGAGCACTTCTTATATTCCTGACCTCATTTCCTTTTCTCCACTTAAATTACTTTAGTTTTTAAACAATCCTGTCATATTACTATTTTAAGATTTTGCATAAAAGCTACCATGACTCACTTTAGGACAAGGTGAATGCAGCAAAGGTGACTATAAGGAAAGACACAGACCTGCAGATACATATATCCAGGTGTTGGGGAAAGAGACACCTCAGTTAAACTCTGCACAGCTACTTACCAGAATGGTTCTGGGCAGGTAGCTTCCACTTAGTCTTAGACACATTTGTAAAATGAGGAAATAAACACCCATGACATAGGTTTTGTTGTGAGTTATGAGAGATCAGGTATCCCAGCGCCATGCCCAGCACAGAAAAGCGTGTAACATTGATTTAAAAAATTATAATGAACAAATATGCTTAGTTCACAGGGAAGCTGCATTAATTGTACAGATGCTCCTCAACTTAGAATGGGGTATGTTCCAATACAGCCATCATAAAAAAGTTGAAAATGCATTTAATACTAATGTATCCAGCATCACAAGCTTGGGAGCCACCTGAAACATACTGAGAACACTTGTATTAGCTGACAGCTGGACAAAATCATCTAATGCAAATGCTATTTTATGACAAAATGTTGAATATCTCATGTAATTTACTGAATGCTGTACTGAAACTGAAAAACAGATGGTGGTATGGGTATCTGAAGTGTGTTTTCCACTGAATGCATATGGCCTTAACACTGTCACAAAGTCAAAAAATCAGTAGAGTCAAACCATCTTAAACCAGGACAAATTATTATTCTAGAATGAATCAATTTAAAGAAATTCTGTGATGTTAGACACACATCTTAAACACATAATTAAATCTCAAAAGCAATATATCTTTATAAAGAAGAGAATAAGTAAAATTGGCATCATATGACATTTGCCTAAATAAGTTCTTCAAAATAACAGCATCATTTGTTTAAATCAATAACAGTTTTATTGAATATAACTGTTGGATACTGTTATCTACCTTTTGAGGAATTTAGAAAACAGAAAAACATACCCAGAAAATTAGACAATTGACAAAGTTTTGTCAATTTGTCATAATTGCTTCCTCAAGTTTTGTCATAATTTGCTTCCCCTTTTTATTTTTATTTTTATTTTATTTTTTATTTTTTATTTTTAAATTTTACTTCTGATTGATACAGTTTATTTAACCATAAAATTACAAACAGACATAACAATATATGCCAAGCATATGTGATGCAACATATATGTTAGTTGTTAAATATAATACAATAATTACTTTATTCAATATCACAGCAATCTTATACAAAGTTTTTGCTTTTATTTTCAAGCGAGGTCAAAATGGAGGAAGAAAGACTTTTATGTACCTATTTCAAGTCTTAGTAAGATCCCAGAAAGGAACATGGGGCCTGCCCGTAGATAAAACCAGAGATCCTGGGTTTGAGAGGCCTGTGTGGCTTCATGATGTGTGTGGTGTGTGTTTACGATGAACTAAGTAAATAAACCTTGCAGTAAATATTTGTAATCTGTTATAGAAATGTGATGAGTAAGTTTAGATCTCTTGCATCATAAAATGTAATCATTATGTCTTTTTAAATGTAAGATGACTAATCTATTTTTATTTTATTTCATAGAAAGATTGGCATGAGTAGCTGAAAAATGATCCTTCAACACAGACTATTTAAGAAGCTGGTCTAAACTATTCTGCTCTCTAACCTTGTTTATGGCGAAATTGTATTTGTTTTTATCATAATTTTAGACATACATGTACAAAACTATTACAGTTTTACATCGATTTTCCATTGACTTTTTTTTTTTTAAATTTATTTATTATTATTAAACTTCAAGTTGTAGGGTACATGTGCTATGATTCACAATTGCTTTAAAGAGAATAAAATACCTAGAATCCAACTTACAAGGGATGTAAAGGACCTCTTCAAGGAGAACTACAAACCACTGCTCCAGTGAAATAAAAGAGGACACAAACAAATGGAAGAACATACCATGCTCATGGATAGGAAGAATCAATATCGTGAAAATGGCCATACTGCCCAAGGTAATTTATAGATTCAATGCCATCACCCGTAAGCTACCAATGACTTTCTTCACAGAATTGGAAAAAACTGCTTTAAAGTTTCATATAAGAACCAAAAAGAGCCCGCATCTCCAAGACAATCTAAGTCAAAAAGAACAAAGCTGGAGGCATCCATACCTGACTTAAATTATACTACAAGGCTACAGTAACCAAAACAGCATGGTACTGGTACCAGAAACAGAGATATAGACCAATGGAACAGAACAGAGTCCTCAGAAATAATAACACACATCTACAACCATCTGATCTTTGACAAACCTGAGAGAAACAAGAAATGGAAAGGATTCCTATTTAATAAATGGTGCTGGAAAGGTGACAGCCATAAAGTGAAAGCTGAAACTGGATCCTTTCCTTACTCCTCATATGGAAATTAATTCAAGATGGATTAGAGACTTAAATGTTAGACCTAATACCATAAAAATCTGGGGAAAACCTAGGTAGTGTATTCAGGACATAGGCATGGGCAAGAAGACTTCATGTCTAAACACCAAAGCATGGCCTTAAAGCAGGTAAACCAAATGGGATCTAATTAAACTAAAGAGCTTCTGCACAGCAAACAAAACTACCATCAGAGTGAACAGGCAACCTACAGAATGGGAGAAAATTTTGCAATCTACTCATCTGACAAAGGGGCTAATAACTCAGAACCTACAAAGAACTCAAACAAATTTACAAGAAAAAAACAAGCAACCCCATCCAAAAGTGGGCAAAGGATATGAACAGACATTTCTCAAAGAAGACATTCATACAGCCAACAGACACATGAAAAAATGCTCATCATCACTGGCCATCAGAGAAATGCCGAATCAAACCACAATGAGATACCATCTCACACCAGTCAGAATGGCAATCATTCAAAAGTCAGGAAACAACAGGTGCTGGAGAGGATGTGGAGAAATAGAACACTTTTACACTGTTGGTGGGATTGTAAACTAGTTCAACCATTATGGAAAACAGTATAGATTCCTCAAGGATCTAGAACTAGATGTACCATATGACCCAGCCATCCCATTACCAGGTATATACCCAAAGGATTATAAATTATGCTGCTATAAAGACATGCACACGTATGTTTATTGCAGCACTATTCACAATAGCAAAGACTTGGAATCAACCCAAATGTCCATCAGTGACAGATTGGATTAGAAAATGTGGCACATATACACCATGGAATACTATGCAGCCATAAAAAGGATGAGTTTGTGTCCTTTGTAGGGACATGGATACAGCTGGAAACCATCCCTTCTCAGCAAACTATCACAAGGGCAGAAAACCAAACACCATGTTTCTCACTCATAGGCGGGAACTGAACAATAAAGATCTTGGACTCGGGAAGAGGCCTTCACACACCGGGGCCTATCATGGGGAGGAGGGAGGGATTGCATTGGGAGTTATACCTGATGTAAATGACGAGTTGATGGGTGCAACTGTATGGCACAAATATACATATGTATTTTATTTTTAAATAAGAGAAAAAAAATTCCCAACAAGTCCCTCTTAGGTTTAGTAGCAGTCCCTCCCTCACTCTCCACCCATGAAGACAAACACATAACAGGGATGTATCATTTTCCCTTTTTAAATAACATCTTTAATTTATAATAGTCATTATAAAGTGTCAAAATATAGACCTATATATATTTTTAAAAAGTAAGTCACCATCATCTCCAATAGCATTTCTCAGAGGTGACTTCTATAAATATCCAGCATATATCCTGCTGGACCTTTTTTTAAAAAAAAATATTATTTCAATAACTTTTTGGGAAACAGGTGGCTTTTGGTTACATGGACAAGTTCTTCCAGTGGCAGTTACTGAGATTTTTGGTGCACCCATCACTAAAGCAGTCAAGTGTTGTGCCCAATGTATGATCTTTATCCCTAACCTTACCCCTTGCTTCCCGAGTCCCCACAGTCCATGGCATTTTTATGCTTCGCATCCTGGTAGCTTAGTTCCCACTTATAAGTGAGAACATACAATATTTATTATCTGCTGGATCTTTGGTTATCCAATGTCAGACACACATACAGACACGGATATCATTATATACACAGACGCTGTGATGGTCAGTATTGAGTATCAGCAGTTGGATTGAAGGAGGATGCAAGTATTGTTTCTGGAGTGTGTCTGTGAGGGTGTTGCCAAGGAGATTAACATTTGAGTCAGTGGACTGGGAGGCGACCCACACCCTCAATCATGTGGGTACCATCTAATCAGCTGCCAGTAAGCTAGAATAAAAGCAGACAAAAGAATGTGGAAGGACTAGACTGGCTGGAGTCTTCTGGCCTCCATCTTTCTCTGTACTAAACTTCCTGCCCTTGAACACTGGACTCCAAGTTCTTCAGTTTCTGGACTCTTGGATCTACGCCAGTGATTTGCAGGAGCACCTTGGGCCTTCAGCCACAGATTGAAGGCTGCCCTGTCAGCTGTCCTACTTTTGAGGTTTTGGAACTCTGACTGGCTTCCTTGTTCCTCAGCTTGCAGATGGCCTGTGTGGGGCCTCACCTTGTGATCGTGTGAGTCAATACTCCTTCATCAACTCCCCTTTCATATATACATCTATTTTTTTTTTTTTTTTTTTTGAGACAGGGTCTCGCTGTAGCCGCCCAGGCTGGAGTGCTGTGGCATAATCCCGACTCACTGCAAGCTCCGCTTCCCGGGTTCATGCCATTCTCCTGCCTCTGCCTCCCGAGTAGCTGGGACTACAGGCGCCCGCCACCACGCCAGCTAATTTTTTGTATTTTTGGTAGAGATGGGGTTTCACTGTGTTAGCCAAGATGGTCTTGATCTCCTGACCTCGTGATCTGCCCACCTCGGCCTCCCAAAGTGCTGGGATTACAGGT